AGAGCACCACGAGTGCTCATAAAGCCATGCCAGGGGTCCTCCAACGACCTCTGCTAAATCTCACTGTATAATCACTGCATTCAAAATATACAGCTTTGTGACTTCATACATATATGAAGAAGTCACAAAGAAGAAAGATGGCATTCCAGCAGTTCTCTCTTATTTGGGAAGTTGTAACTTATTCATTAGACCATACTGCATACATTTCAAATGAGGAAGTAGTAACCATCTGAAGAGATGACAGCAGGCTGCACAACATTTGGGATCCAATTAAAATTCATGACTAACTTCTGAATTACCAGCAACAAAATCCTTGAACTGACAAGAGGGATATAGAAAACCAGTATTTATACAGTGAGATTTGCATACACAATCTCTTTTCAGCACTATGTACTTCCATCTAAGATGCTTGACATACCACATACCATTGAGATAATTGAAACTCTGGCTCCTGAGTTCTAATTACATTTACATGATGGCTTTCTCCCCCTTCTCTTATATATCAGTTAAAAGTTGAACCTGCCATTTACCCAGCATTTCTGCCTTGGAATTGTGGCAAATCAATTTTAAACAGTAGAAAAGGCCTGTTATATCACCCAGTCCTATTTTCCTCTTTATACAGGACTGCATAGTAACAGGGTTTTGCCCAGATAAGCTGCATCTCAAGTAATATGGCTCCTACCACTCCTCTGCTAGACAACTGTTACAGGCCAAGTGAGCTCATTGACAAAATTTCTCCCCTTCTCTCCCTCTCTCACAATTAGCTTACATTTCCCTTCCACCTTTATGTATTCATGTTCCATCTCTAGCAATTAATCTCTTCAATGCTTATTATCTTTCCAATATTTGTTGACGGTCACGGTCCTTTTCACATACTATAGTGAACAGTGTCATAGACAAAGCTTGGGGGAGAAAAAAAAAGAAGCATAGAACAGATCCATAAAAGCTCTAGAGAGGAGATAAAGAGAGAGAAAGAATAGATGGCTTTTCCCCCTCCAGTCATTGGAGGACTTTTTGAGGTTTGGAAGGATCTTTCAAAATGATGACACACAAAAAGATGCAGTTCCTGTTGTTTTTAATCTTAGTGATGTTTCTGAGGCATAAAGTCACATTCATTTTTCTACTCATACATCCTTCCATAGCTAAGTTTTTTTGGTGTCTTTACTTACCAGGTTTCATGCACTGTGGGAGGGAGAATGTGTGGTTTGAATGTGTTGCCCCCGGTTAATCGGCATGCTTTCCGTCTCTCCCTCCTCAGTGCATCTTTGTACATTACCCTTCTGTCAATTTTTCTGATAATTAGATCTGTAATTTTTTTCCCCTCAGTAGTGATAATTCTTCCCAACTTCATGTTTAGGAATTTCCACATGTAAGGGGGTGGGGAAATCACTCTGTAGAACCTTAGGATCTTCTACCCATTAGCACACCACATAGAAAAAGTTGGACTTACCTGTGAGATTAGCTGCCATCTCTTCAGCGGTCTGACACAGCCTCAGCCCTTGTTTTAGGGGACCTTCTGAGTCTACATACTGACGACGCTTGAGGTAGCAGGACACTGCCATCTGAATCTGTTCTGTGCGTACACGTTTCATGACCTTCAAAAGAAGCAAATGAAAAGTAAGTGCCATGGCATAAAGATGTGGCTAATTTGCAGGTGGGTTATGCTGCTGCATCTATAAACATGGCAGCTGTATTAAACCTGATACAGAATGAATGGCTCAATACTTCCATTATATTAACATTTAAAGGGAAATTCTTTACTTCGTGAAGTATGTTGTGTGATCATTGACAGCATAAGTAGCCACCTCAGTCTAGTTCCCTAAAAATATTTAGCTGCCTCACATCACTGATGTCAATGGGAGCTAGGCACCTAAATGCTTTGGAGATCCGGGTCTTGAAGATTCAGGGGCTGGCTCAGTAGTTAATTAAAATGCTTTAATTTAGTTGTACATATCTACTACAAAACTACTAAAAGTGACCTGCATGTTTACTCTTTCTTTTTTAAACTGACTTGTGTCTTTTCTTTAGCCTGAAAAGGGGTTATTCTCCTCCTTGCTTCTTCACATTAGAAACTAATGCCCTGTTTACACTTTTAAGGTTCTGATGACTAGAAAACCAGTGAAACATCATCAGAAGAATCAAGAGAGTGAAAGATGAGGAACAGAAAAAGAAACAGATTCTAATTAGATAACTTTATTAACAGATTTAAATTAGATAACTAATTAGACTACAGTTGGACCTAGACAGGTTACAAGGATGGGCGGAGGAGAACAGGATGGGGTTTAACACAGACAAGTGTAAGGTGATGCACCTGGGGAGGAACAATCAGCACCATACATACAGGCTGGGGAACTCCCCTCTTGTCAGCACGGAGGTGGAAAAGGATCTGGGAGTCATTATTGACTCCAAGATGAACATGGTCGGCAATGTGGGGAGGCAGCTAGGAAGGCCAACTGCACCTTGTCGTGCATCCACAGATGCATCTCGAGCAGGTCCAAGGAGGTGATCCTCCCGCTCTATGCGGCACTGGTCAGGCCGCAGTTGGAGTACTGCGTCCAGTTCTGGGCGCCACACTTCAAGAG